CTGCTATCTCAATGTCGATTATGTCATTGTTCTAGATCGAAGTTGTTTCACCAAATAAAAAAAATATATAAAAAGGAATGTCTGTCGTGAAAATATACAAATCGGAATTCATTGTAATGATTCTACAACAAACGCTATTCAAATGATTACAAACATTATTAAAATTATTACGCAGCAAATGTTATTAGAATAATTATATAGCAAATGCTATTATAATGATTATACAACTACAAGTTAATTGCAGTGCGCCATGCAGGTGTCAAGTCTGACAGACATGAGCGCCATACAATAACCCACAAATATTATTATTATTATTAACATGATCACAAAGATTTTCAAGAAATTAAGGTATAAAGCTATACCAAAAGCCTTTCGCATTACTTTAAAAATTACAATAACATATAATGTAATCAGAAGATGATTTCTAGGGAATACAGTTATTATCAATAGGGTAATAAAATTGCCCTTGAGTTGAGTTCTTGAAAGTCTGTACGATCGAGTTAACAATACTTTGGCAAATTTCTGCGCTTAATTTCACAGCCTACATGAATTCAATTCAATTCAATTCAATTTTCAATTCAAATTTATTGGTCCAGAAGAAAATTCATTGCGTTTACATGCATAGTAAATAAAATGTACATGTGACATTATACATACAACATACAACGAGTATATAATTATATAGAGAATGAACATAATTTGTAGGACTTTAACATTCACATTTACAGGTATTTTCTCGTAATTTACATTATATTCACTGTTTGTCCATACATCCAGAGTAATTACCAACACGAAATAATATCCTATATATTTCTTTGGCGAAATAAGTCTTAAGAAGAGCCAATGGAGCAAATATCGGATCAAACTTAATATTCAAAGGAGGAAGGAGCTCAAAAAAAAATCGTGCAATATTGTTGTCAACACGAGCAATTTCACTTTTGTCCATCACCTATATACGAATATTGCAAATCTCTTCTTATATCTCCATGCAATAAGTAATCCAAACCTGAGTTCTATATAGAATTTACAATAGGGTATTGAAATTAGCCTTGGTTTGGTTTCTTGAAAGTATTCTCGATCGTATTATTCTGAACTCGCTGTTGTTTTCTGCCATCTTTTCGTTTTATTTTGTTATTGTTATATTTTGTTCAGTAATTTTGTTTCTAACTATGTAAATTATTTGTAAATATTGTGATTTCTTTGGATTTTTCAATAAAAACATTTTTTTTTTAAATTAAAAAAGTAATTACGATAAAAGTTAGATAATACATGACGGTATTATGCAGGAAGGGAGGGAGAATGTCAACTTGGATCCAGTATTAAAGAGGACGATAAAAATAGTATGACTGGAACGTGAAGGAAGGAATCGCATTGGGGTCGTGACTTAAACATGAAAAACTCTCCACAAGCCTGAACAACGTTTTTGAGATTGAATTAAATTGAAATATGTCCATTTAGTCATCTTATAATGAGCTATCGTAACAGCGCATATCAGCAAAATAACAGGGAACACCAGCTAGATCATTATACCTGTTAAGTGGCGCATGGCACTGTTTTATTCAAAACAACTAAACGTTAACCCGTTATACTTGATTACAAACTCATGGTGATAGTTAGGACAGACAGAAAAATGTTACAAATTAAAACAAACGTGTAAGAAAAAAGAGAATAATCTGAGGATTCTAGATTTTTTTTCAGATTATAAAAATGTATAAAAAAGTATAAAAATTGAGTATGATTTCCAATAAAAATATAGCGAAAAAATTATTTAAATGCGAATACTTTTTTTTTTTTTAGCAAGAATGCCTTTTTGAGCAAGAATGCCTTTTTGAATCATTCGAAAAATACATAACTTTATAGCACTCTAATATAAAATGAGCACCAAAAGCGAGATACCATACCCGGTGTGTCAAATTCAAATGAATGTCGTAATGATTATGCAGTAGTTCAAAAAGTTCTTTATTGATAAGGGAAATACAAATAAATTGTCTTACTTATTGCAGACGTGATGCCGACTAATCCAATAATAACCGCACAAAAAGTTGAACAATAAACTCCTGAAAGTATCCAGCTCATTTTGGGGGATGATATTTACTCCAAAAAGTTGAAATCAAAACGTTTGACAATCTACCAATCCAATTTGTGTCAGTATATTGAAGAAATGTCCCTCGATAGTTCCTCTACAGGTATTCACCTGTGCTATGGTGCTATGTCATGTATGAGACAACTCAGACAAGCGTTTTCCTTGACAGCTTATGACTAACTGCTGATGCATACACACACGAGCATCAACAGTAGCGGGAAAGCGGCAAAACTGATTAATAAAATTGAGTGATGAGGGGGATGTTATCGAAGAGGGCGTACTGCACGAGTAAAGCATTCGATCTGAGACCTGAACCTCCCTGCTTTCAAATGAGAAAATAATTAATTGCCAAGTGCCTTGCTGGATTTGTTTTTCAATATTTCAGTAAGAAATTATGTTGGATGAGAAGGATATATAGGATACCGATTCTTCAATTCCTTTTCTCTTACTGAGTGTCCATCTATATCGAGCTGAAATCTCTTTTTTTCTTCTTCAAGGTACAAGTAGAGAGGGGGGGGGGGGGGGTTGCGGACGGATTATCCTACAAATTAATAATGAGAATGCATATCAAGGACTCAAATATATGCATTTTTAGGGGCCGGCATATCACGACAAATTAAGAAATGCCTACAGTTTATTTATACTGTCACATGGGAAATAACCATAATTATATACCGTACATGTATGTTCGCGTTTATGGTATATACGTGAGGGATTTGGCCAACCAATCCTTCATGCACCTATAGTTGATAAGTCATCGGTGTGTCATAGCTTGACCTTGACCTAACTCATCGGCTAAATATACACTTCTTTACAGATTTATAGCAATGATAAAAATACGGAATCTCTAACAAAATCGTTGATGATAAAGATTGGCCTATCACAGACTTTTTTTTCCTCATAGATTATTTCCTTCTTCATGAGAAGGGCGTTTACTTTTAAGGTAATATACTAGTTCATGCGGTTTTCAAACACGCAGATCGAGATTTGATAGTTATGGGAAATGGGAGAGAGAGGGGGGGGGGGAGACGGGGAAAGAGAGAGAGAGAGAGAGAGAGGGGGGAGGGAGACGGGGAAAGAGAGAGAGGGAGAGAGAGAGACCGAAATTGAGGGCGGGTTTCAGAGTTTTATTGGATATATAGTCCCTATATGTGAACACTTAGGTTCTCAGTAGAATAAGTAACTAATGGTTTATCTGGCTGCCGGTTTGTTCTTTATTATTTATGTAAGCTCTCCCATATACATATTTCTATCCCATTTTATCTGGGCAGTTCTTTAATTCTTTCGCCCTCTATCTCTTCAAATACAATTTTCATGTGTTTTAAAGGCCCACTGCACTACTTGTAGCTACTTGCGCCCTCGATATAACAAACAATGCCTAATCGGTGATCATTGGTCCCCCATGATCCTCTTTTTCTTATGTTAACTGAGAGCTGAGTTGATGAGACAACCACCTGTCCAGTGACCTTGCAGGGCGCTCTAATCCCTCCTGTAAACTACGGCAGATAACCTTTAACAAAGCACTCTCTCTTATCCCTCCATTAAATCTCTTCATTTTCCATCACTCATTAAAGCTAAACTTTAGTACTGGTAATGCGATTGCATTGTGAAAGAAAAGGTGTGGAAAGGATCAGAAAAAGTTGATCATGTAGAATGTAAGTATTGGTGTGCACTGCAAGGTTCTAGAGTCATCAAAATCATAATAAATTTGACCGAGTTTTGGTAAAGTAACACGCACCGTACACAGAAAGCTATATATGGGACAACACGCATGTTGTCGGGGCTGGTACTACCTTGATTTCCTTGTCTTTCTATGCTCATTACTCAGCCAGTATACATTTTCTTCCAAAATTGTTTGGCACATGACATTTATTTGTAATCTTGAACATTCGGTGTAAGTTTCGTTTGATTCTGTGAGAATTCATTTTCTTTTTTTTACCAGTACTGGAGTTTATCTTTAAACTTTTGTTCTTTTACCATTGTTCGTGATCTCTCTCTTTCTCTCCCCTTCTCTCTTATACACATAATCCCTTTGCTTGATAATCTAAACATTCGACCCTCATTTCACACTGTACGTTTCCATCTCTGATGAAGAAGAAGCAGAAGAGAAAGGAGGTGGAGAATATAAGGAAGAATAACGAGAAGAAATATTATTACCCTGACATAATATATCTATAATTTCTCTCTTCAATTAGTCAACATTTCTTGCCGTTTCCTGATTTTCTCTTAGATCCATCATTATACATCGTCCTTGTTTTCACGAAGTGACGGTAGTGAGGAAAATCGTAACGCAAAGTGAATGCAATTTTTTTTCACTACCGTCACTTCGTGAAAACAGCGACGACATGTAAAACTCTCTTACAAGACAATATCTCTCCCTGTAATATTGGTTCACTTTCTGCCTTCTTTCTTTCTCAACATCATTCACAAGTCACAACTACAAAGTCAAAAAAATCCATCTGTCTCCTTCCTCATTCCAACATCCCATAACCTCAGAAACATCACCATACGCACTCCCCTTGACAGCAACAGCTTATTGAAACTCTGCAAACTTTATCACAATTGTATCTTATGGACACCTCTTATTTTCTATCTTTGACAAAACTGTGACTCTCCTTGTACCACATACATGTTTAGTGGAATGCCTTTACAACAAATGCTTATCATAGCAAGGTAATTTTACCAGCCCCACTTCTTTTCTTTTGTTTTGTTAAAGCCCTTACATAAGAAGTTTTCATAAAAAGAAGCAAAAGAGGGTAACTTCCTTGTTCAAAATGAGTTTGTTACAACAAGCTTCCACAGGACTACTTTTACAAAGCAGGGTTCGTTTCATCATGTGCTTAGTTACAAAATGGATACCCGCCCTAGAGACGCAAGATGAAAAGAAGAACTCCTCTAAACCAAATTCATTTTTGTCATCACAGCAAGAATCAAATTCTGTGCCTTTATTCAGATGTTATAACAAACGTGGAAGAAAACCATAGCCCGATGTTGTTCTCCTTCGTGATGTTCACCAGGCTTGTAACATGGTTGCATCTAAGCGTCGGCGATGGTGACCTCAACCTCGACACCAGGCTCGATGCTGATAGAGGTCTGTATTAAAGTTCAAAGGTCAAGGATCAATAACAAAGTAAAAACTATGTATCACAATTGAATACAGTCTATGAAAAGCATTGTGTGTGAAAGAAAACAAAGAACTATCAATTAAATTACATATTTCTTACAAAATTAGGATAATCAATACAGAGATTGAAATACTAGGAAAATGAGATGGTGTGATATTTATGTATCTTATTTACCTATTATAAACAATATTTTTGCATACACGTTTTTGAGCGATTGTCATAAGACAGTAAGATGACGATTGTAACAATGCAACAAATCTGCTTGTGGTAAACTGGCATTCTTCATTTATTTCCAGGTCCATATCTACCACTTTCTTCCCCCCCCCCCCCCAGACCCCAATTCCTACATGCATTGTCCTCACAACTGTCCAATCTATATGCAAAGTATCATAACCGAAGTCCAGACTCACTGAACCTGAATATAACACCATATGCCACTCATACCATCCTCGTAAAAAAAGAAAACAGAGAAAAGAACATTTCCTCGAGTCCAATAATTATTGGTGAAAAAAGGATACGATCTGCTTGACGATCTCAGAGGGGCTCTCCAGGTCGATGAGACGTTTGTGGATGCGCATCTGGAAGCGATCCCAGGTCTTGGACCCTTCACCACAGGGTGTCTTCCTGGTGGTGATACGCAGGGTCTTGGTCGGCATGCGGACCGGTCCCTTCACCTTCAGGTTCTTCTCCTGGGCTCCGCGCTTGAGATCTGCGCACACCTTCTCCAGGCTCTTGACATTGCGGCTGGTGAGGGTGATGCGGATGCGATGGGCTGGGACTTCCTCCACTGGCCCCTTCATTGGATCCTTGCTGTAAGCCTACGGTGAGAGAGAGAGAAGGATGACAACATTTTCAAAGGTGATATTACTTTTCTTTTTTTTTCTTCCTCGACCACCCTCCCTTAAGTAAAAAAAAAAAAAAGTTTCGGGGGAAAACCCATTGGCATCGCAAAACATTGAGTAAAAAAAATTGGGAAAAAAATGGAAAATAGGGACAAGGGTAAAAATCAGGAAAAATGGGTAAAATTGGGAGGAAAATAAAAATTGGTTTCCTAAATCCGGCAATTATCAGGCCTGCTTTTTACATGTCGTACCAAGGGTCTACTGCAATAAGTGTCTTTCCTCAACAAGAGATCCCACCAGGCCAAATTCACGAGTTTTAATTTAAACCCTCACCTGAGTCTATCGACTACTGAATGATCTCATTGCCATAATAACTTATCTAAGCAATTTATCATTACGGTTGTTAACTTCACACACACACACGAGCACCTGCACCTCATAGTCGGTACGGACTACAGTATGCGATTGCAATTGTATTGTGCGGTAGTTTGCCATGAATCCCAAGAGAAAGTGTACAGAATTATAAGTCTTTGTTTTTAGGAAAAATACTCAAAAAAGGATTAGAAAATTGACACGAAACAGGTTAGAATTCATGACCATTATTTGAACAATTGATGAAGATTTAGCCAATTTTTGGTATGTTTTAGTAGGGTAACTCCAGGCCGGAATTGTCCAAGTATGGATATGATTCTGAATTAATTAGCGCCAATCTTTTTTGGAACGGACGCAAATATGCAAATCTTTTGTCAAATTTTCCCTAATTTCACACCAAATTCCCCCCAAAATTCCATCTCTCGACAATTTAAAGTTCCTCTTTCCATGGGTGACATCAGATTTTCGAAATCTTTCCGATTTTTAGCGATAGCGAACTATGGACTCGCACCACCACCACCACCACCACCACCATCATGCACACAATATTTCGACTGTCTACACTGCACTACACAGGCATTGCCATAGGCATGGCCATAACCTAGACACACGTGAGCGCTTTCATCAGTCACCCAGTCACACAATCACTGGCACTCATTCATGGATAAATTCTGTCGTTTTGGTAGATTTTAAAACTAACATTTTATTGTAGAGGTCTATATCATCTCTAAAATATTCATACCATGTTTTATGTATGCTAGCAGACTTAATCAACTCTGAATTTGGCAGAAATTGAACAGAGGTGAGCTAGCGGCTTTTCGTCGGTGTTCAGTGAACGAGCGCCGATCTAAAGAGAACTCAATACATGTGAATTCTATGCAATTCGTATTGGACGATGAGTCCACACAAACATCAAATAATGCGCATGGCTAAATTTCCTATCGCTTTGTCCACGTCTATGTACTTTCTGTATCAATATATGTGCAGTGGAAACAATCCTAAATTGAATCAGTAATTTTATTTTGAAGAAGAGGTTTATTAAAATTATATCAATATAAATGTTTCATTAAAATTTTAAATTTATATTTAAATTTATATTCATATTTTTAAAGGTATTAAAATTACCTTGTAAAAGAAAATATACGTATATAATCATGCTAATTTTAAAATATAGTAGCTTGAGCCTAGAAACGTTCCTACTCTACCAACCGACAGCAAAATCGGCCCAATTTATCTTCGTTCAACTAGTGTTTGATGTCTTCCTATAAATAACCAAAGTGCAGTAAATTACTCTGACATAGGGCCTACTGCCCCTCATTCTGATAGTTCATTTTGTCTAATTTCTTTGTATTGTATGATACTGATGATGATGATGCTCTGCGGTATTTAATGTATTCAGAAATTAAGTATGTCTTATAAACAGGACTGCTTTTAAATATTATTGAATGAATCGAATTTATTGATTCATCTATCTGCATACAACTGCATACAAAATTCTTTTTCCATTTTTCTTTTTTATGCGTCAGATTCATGTGTGCAGAGACGGCGCTCCGGGGGGGGGGGGGGGCACAGAGCCCCCACTTTTTCAAGAACCCCAACTATAGTGCCCCTTTTTACATAGGAAAAGAGCCCCTTTAGCTTTGTAAGAAGTGCCCCTTTTTACATACAAAATACCCCTTTTACTTCAACAAGTGCCCATATTAATTTTTAAAAGTGCCCCTTCTCCTTTCCACCTCTGATAAGTGCCCCTTTTATTTTGACGCGTAACCTTTTCTTTTGACAAGTTCCCATTTTCCTTTGCAATAAGTGTCCATTTTCCATTCTCATAAGTGCCCTTTTTAATATCTAGTAATTGCCCCTTTTCAGGAACGAGAAGCGCCCCTTTTCACTTTTGATAAGCGCCCCCTTCACCTCTAATAATAACCCTATTCAAATCTGAGAGGTGCCCCTTTTACTTTGACAAGTGCCCCTTCCCCCTTTTAATAACTATACCCTTTCTTAACTCGGATAAGCGCACCTTTTATTTTCACATGTGCCCCCTTTCCTTTCTAATAAGAGCCCCGGCTTTTCCTTATGATAAGCACCCCCATTTAAAAAGGAGCCCCTTCCCCTTCTCATGAAAATCCCCCAAGTATTGCTCGCTACGCTCGCTCGTATTCATAGATGTTATGTTACTTATCAAAGGTCTTTTCAGTCTTCTGTTGTGAGAATGTGCTTATAACCCCATAAGGATTAAGGATTGGGTTTTCCCTCTTTATAAGATGTAATGTTTTGCTCTGCGACCTCACAAATCTTAATTTTATTCCTCGCTCGCTTTTCTAGCTCGCAAATGAATTTTCAGACCATCACACCTAACTGCAAGGTATGATGCTTAAGCAATATCCGATAAAGAGAAATATTGAAAACAAATATTGAAATCATCCCTGATAATGTGATCACAATTATAGGGGTATATACCAATGTCTAACATATATATTTTCGTTTTGAGATTTCCTTTTGAAGGTGCCTCTTTTTTTCAGAAAGTGCCCTTTTTTGTTAGTATGATATATCATATATGCAAGAGGAGAGTTAGACGTGGAGCCTATGGAGGTATGGAAGGAAGGGGGTATAAGTCAGGAAGGGGGAGAGAGAGAGAGATAGTCGATCAGAGACTCATTGAGAGAGAAACTGAGAGAGAGAGGAAGAGAGACAGAGAGACAGAGAGAGAGAGACAGAGGGAGAGGGAGAGAGGGGGAGAGAGAGAAAGGCGGTGACTGAGAGCAGATGCGGTTTGGGATTCTCTGGCGTTGTAGGGGCAGCGAATTTTTTTTCCGTACTCGAGAGGGCAAATACCCCATGTGCGCATGCGCGTGGACTTCTCTGCTACTTCCCATACGAAATGTACATGTATTCGCATCTACTGTGCACGATTCGCGTTCTACGAGTAAACGATGGCATAGTAGTCTTCAAACACAGACCCTGATTTGCCAGTTTGACAAAACAATTACGCATATATCGTGCGTAGCAATAGTACTAGTATTCAAGTCTGAGTAGTTGTATGATTCAGACATTTTAGTGCTTACAGAAATGCATCCCAAATTGAATAGCATGGTATAGTAGTCTGCAAGCACAGACGCTAATCGGACAGTTTGACAACATAGTGTCTTGAGTAGTGCTTTATATTCAAATATGTGTAGTTTTATGATTCAGACCCTACTGGTGCGTGTATTGGAAAGGCATCTCAACTTGCAGAGTGGCATAGTAGTCTGCAAGCACAGACGCTAATCTGACAGTTTGACAAAATAGTGTTATTCAAGTCTGAGTAGTTTTATGATTCAGACCCTACTGGTGCGTGTATTGGAAATGCACCTCAACTTATAGAGTGGCATAGTAGTATGCAAGCACAGACTCTCCTTTGACAGTTTGACAGAATAATATAGGCCTATTGTGTATTGAGTAGTGCTTTTATTCAAGTTTTCGTAGTTTTCTGTGTTGTGCCACTGCTCTCTCACTCTCTCTCTCTCTCTCTCTCTCTTTCTCTCTCTCTAGCTCTCCCTCCAGTATGCTCGCACTCTCTGTATTACTTTTATTTATAATCATGGTCTGCTGAGAGCCAGAAGGATGTTAACTCTTAACACAACGAATGCCCTTCTGGCTCTGAACAAACGATAGTAGGCCTATATATGATAAACCCAGATTAGCGTCTGTGCTTGCAGACTACTATACCATTCTATACAAGTTGCAATGTATTTCCATATGCACTACTGGGTCTGAATCATACAACTACACAGACTTGAATAAGCACATCGCGACACATACGCATATTGATTTGTCAAACTGGCAAATCAGAGTCTGTGTTTGAAGACTACTATGCCATCGTTTACTCGTAGAACGCGAATCGTGCACAGTACATGCGAATACATGTACATTTCGTATGGGAAGTAGCAGAGAAATCATAAGTCCACGCGCATGCGCACATGGGATTTTTGCTCTCTCGAGTACGGAAAAAAAATTCGCGTAGGGGCAAGCCCATTGTATTTTATGTGTATGAAAAAGTAAACAGAAACGAAAAACACTCCACATTTAGAGACAACAATATTTGTCAACTTGACGTGATAACTTACTCATAAGTACAACAATGTTCGAAGATTTAGTATTCCTTGAAAAAAAATTCACGCCCTTCATCTTGATAATGCGTAAACTACAGCCAGAAAAGAGTTAACAATTTGATTTGTTTAATAACTAGAAAAAATGCCAAACACCCTTTCTCTGTTTACTTCATTCTTTCATTCATTCATTCATACATTCTTTTTTTTCTATCTTCATTAATCATTCATTCATTAATTTTATGCAATCATTCTTTTAACTCTCTTTATTATTTATTTATTCATTCATTCATTCAATTTATTCAATCAATTATATATTCACTGTCTAGTCTATTCGGTCTTTTTTATATACATTTTTTAATTTCTTTCTTTATTTAGTTATGTATTTATCCTTTTTTTTTATAATTCATTTATTGATCTCGTATTAGCCTACATTAGATTTTTGTTGTTTGTGTTTTAGTGGTGATACCTCTACTTGCGCAGCTAGTCGAGTTCAATATGTGTGAGTTGAGTCAGGACGAGTTACACTGCATTACTCATGCAGTGCCAAGTGCCAAGTTGGATTCCTCCATCCTTCCTCCACGTATGCAAGCGTTACACGGTACACTAGTTAGCGACCTATGTAACGGATCTTCAGCTCGCGCTCATCATCAGTGCCGAGACTTCAGGCGACAGCCAACGTCAACGAAACCGGTCAAGAATTGAATTTTTCACCGCGGAAAGTGACTGATTAGTGTCTGTTGTTGGCAGTTTTGAGAGCTATAAACAGCTTAACCGTAACGCATATATTTGATCAGTTCTATTCCAGCTCGCAAGATAAATGAAATGGTAAGGATGAAATTCTATGTTGTCGGTTGTATGATTGAATTTGATTTTAATTTTTATAAAAATTGATTGTCGGATTGAGTGACATTCACATTGTTGTCAGATTGTGACTTTTGTGTCTTTGTCAGTTTGTGATTGTCAATCAAAAGCTATTTCTATTTCTTTTTAATATGACTGGCAATATCACTGACAGTCGACTAACCTACACTAGATCTATAGACTCTACCTAGATCTACAGACGCGTCCAAAAAAAATATGGATCATCCGCATTTTCACTGACAATTCTGATTTTCGATCAGCGCATTGCCGATGATTCCGCAATGATATTCTTGATGCATTTTACATTGACTTTGTACAGAGACTTTCATTTTATGAGCGATAATCCTCGCGAAGACGGACAACCAGGACTAAATGTCGACGGCGAACTGGGAGTAGACTATTTCATTAAGACTAAGACTTAAGAGGAATCCGTTTTGCGTGGATCGTGAACCCGAAACCCACAGAGCTCCGAAGAAAACAAATGTCAGTGAAAATGTGGACAATCCTTACTTTTAGGACGCATTTTGTCCGCTCATACCATACCGAAATACAAGGATATTCTCCTTTATGCAAACGATCTTCATTCTCTAACCAGCGGCCCTAAGTACTGGTGAATTGTATGTCATTCAATAATTTTAGTCTTTACTTGGCTGCAAGTTCAAAATCTTCAAAAATGAACAGTTACGGTAGGGGCGCTTATCCGAGAATAAGGATCGTCCGCATAAAACAAAAGAGGATATCCTCATAAACGCTGAGAAATCGCATTTTAAAACATAAGACGATCCTATTACCGATCAGTGCGTTGGCGGTGTGAAAAACGGATTCCGTGATGATGCCCCTAGACTGAAATTCTGTCTTTTTCGTTCGTTAGCCTCTTATTTTAATTTGGGTCGGATCGGCTCCTCTCTTTTTACAGACAGAAGCAGACCCTGTCTCTAAAGAGAAGAGCCGACCCTACCCAAATAAGAGGCTAACGAACGAAAGAGACACAAATTTTGGGTCTATGATGCCCATGTGCAAGTCTCACTTAGGCAGCACAGAGACTTTCATGTTATGAGCGATAAATCCTCGTAAAAGTAGACGATGAACTGGGGATATTTTATTTAAATCTAGATCTACTGTTCCGATACATATCCTGGCCAGACACACAACTTCTGGGTATATACATGTACTGTAATACTACCATTGGTGATAACTGTAAACTTCACCATTATTGAACGTACCTGTTTGTGTTTTGGGAAGAAAAATGTGAATTTTCTTAGCCCGAACAGAGACTGTCTTCATTGTCAGAGATAAATGTACATGAACATATGTAGATTGGTGATTGAAAGATAATGATACTACATGTACATATACTTTTACTATTATCACCAAGTCAGGCCTTAAATTTCAATATTTTTAGGGCAAGGCCACTTTTCTGTAGGGCACATTCCTATATTACAGCACAAATAGGAAGAATTGGAAAGGGCGCACAAAATCTCCAAGGCCAATGAGAGGGGCATTAAGGTCAATCAAAAGGGCATCCACGGCCATGGCCTTGGTGGCCTTGGATTAATTTAAGCCCTGCTAAGTGTTCATCGTTTATTAATTCTGGTGATATTGCAATCTCAAAATTCTATGTTGGATCAACGCATTTCTCATGTCCTTTTGTGAGGTAAATCATTAATTTGAAACACTCTCTCTAAAGTGGGGGCCTTGCACCTCAACTTCCAAACGTATAAAATTTCCTAATACCCAACTTCTTGGGCAGAATTAGCACAGCTACTCATGCCATGGCAGGTGTTCATGTCTTAATTTTTGTTTAATTTATTACATCATATTTGAACCATTAATGATCCATCATTTTTTATTTTTTTCTTCAGATGCTGTCAGTTGCAGTACTTCTGCTCGTAGCCAGCAGGCTAACCGATGCCTTCTATGTTCCTGGTGTTGCCCCTGTAGAGTTCACAGAAGGTCAAGCAGTAGCCATCAAGGTAATTTCATTTACATTGCTTGTATAAAGGCATTTAAAGATAAAGTTGAGTTCTGGTCATGCGATTGCATTGTGAAAGAAACGTTGTGGAATCGATCAGAAAAAGTTGATCATACTGCAAGGTTCTGGAAGCATCAAAAGGATAAGAATTTTGGCCTAGTCTTGGTAAACTTACAAGCACTGTACACCGAAAGATGTGTATGGGACTACACGAATATGGGGCATACAAATCTGTCCCGATTTTTATGATGTTACATGCCATATTTAGAATATTAAGGCATTTGAAGAGCCATGCTTTTCAGGGAACATTTTTTTATAGACTGATGTTCTTTCACACTTGCATAATACAATGATAATGCTCACAATTTTTTTCCTCACCTCTTCCCAGAACTCATCCTTCACTTTAAAGCCATATAGGTCAACTAAGTACAGACTGGTTAAAAGAGAAGGTTGAGGTCTCAGGTTTGGGCAAGATGAAAAACAATTTCTTAACGCTGTATCTGAACAAGCCTTTATCTGTACTTGTCAGTCACTTCATTAAACTTTTATTTCCCTAAATTCCTTGAACATTTTTTCTCTCTCTCTCTGTGTAGACATTGAACTAGTAGAATTATGTACAAATAAAGATTAATTTCAGAAGGTATATCTGCACAATAGTTAGCTAAATTAGTTATCTTAAAAATAGTGTTCAGGGAAAAATGACAGCTACATGTACATGTAATGAGCTCTTTTTTGCTGGTAATAGTTGAATGCTTGGCATATTTGTGTTCACAGACTACATCATACAGTACATGTGATGTACAGGTGTACACGTGATATTTGAGTCACTCTTTGTACAGGTAATACCAGTAGAATTTACAACCACTAAATGTGATGGTGTGTAAGAGCCACAGGAGGCAAAGGTTAGAATACATCATGTACATGCGAGAAGCTAATTAATGAACAGCCATTGATCTTGAATTTCATGCCCATTTCATGGTTTAAATTTTCATTCTACTAAAATCCTAGTTTCGGCGGAAGTTGCTTAAATGGACAAAGTTTTTAATGAGCTTTGTCGTTTTGACATTTTTTCAATATTGCCTATTTATACCCTCATTATACTGGTCCCCCCTCCCTCCTTACATAATATGACGTCATTGGGTCATTCCATGTCAAACCACCCAGCAATTTTTTATTTTTATGAAATTTAAGTGTTCTTGTTGAGTGTGATCTCATAGCACCAAATCTCAAATTTTATGTTCAGTAAATAGGGTGAGGGTTTGTCGGTTTGGGAGATACAGCCCATCAAATTTTGAAATTTTCTGCAACAATGGGCATGGCCACATACCTTTGAATCCATGTACCTCAGGAACTAATCGGTCAATCTTCACAAAATTCAATAAGGATTCCAAATCTACCATCATGTTGAAGATTGGTACATGTTGGGGTACCTTGACTTTACTTTTGACCTAAGATTTGACCTTAAAATTGACCTTGTGGCTTGTGGATCATGTGACATTGACAATATTTTCATGAAATGTAATATCTGACATGTTCACTCTTTAGCTATTCATAATATTTCATTTACCCCTTAAAATGTTTATTGTATTATGAGCCTGTACATTTCGATGATTGTAAGATGGAGGTGTTTTTTTTTTACTGTATTGTAGATAGGGGTTTGGGTTATTTTCAACTGAGAGTGAATCTAACAATTCTTATATTCTCTAAAAAGTCTGTTGGAGAGCTATTGCTTCATGTACACCTGTACATGTACATGCACATTGTAGATACCAGGGGCCTGTTCCTCGAAACGTCTAACTTCTTGACAGTCCCATTGAAATGCGTCTAATTCTATAACACACGTTTTAATGGGATAGTCAAGAAGTTAGACTTATGACGGTTTTCAGGAACAGGCCTCTGTACCCCCCCCCCCCCCCCCCCCCTTTCACCTCCATAAATACTGCACACCCTGTACATGTCAGGCATTCATACAACAATAAATATTTTGCACATCCAAATTTTAAAAAGAAAATTCAGCAATTTTTTTTTTTTTTTTTGGGGGGGGGGGGGGGCTGTTTATTGCATCATGTCTGAATGAACCTTCAGAATGTCAGGCATTCATACAACAATAAATATTTTGCAACATCCAAATTTTAAAAAGAAAATTCACCAACTTTTTTTTTTTTTTTTGGGGGGGGGGGCTGTTTATTGCATCATGTCTGAATGAACCTTCATTTTATTGTATTCATTTTTACAGGGAGTGAAGCTGACAAGTACAAAGACACAGCTACCTTATGAATACTACTCTGTGAAGCTGTGCCCTCCTGTTGCTGGTAACATCGTCCATGAATCCGAGAATCTCGGAGAGGTCTTGAGAGGGGACAGGATTGTCAATACCAACTATGTGGTTAGTCCATTTGCTATTAAAGTCTCTCTGCCACAGTCAAACCTGTCTATAGCGACCACCCAAGGGAAACACAAAAAGTGGCCTTTGTAGACAGGTTCCTTTGAAACATGATTCAATGAGAAACCATTTTCAAGGGAAACAATAAATGTGGCCTTTGTAGACAGGTGGTCTTTGTAGACAGGTGGTCACTAAAGCAGGTTTGACTACACTTGACAAATGTGGTCCGTTTGGAGCCAGAAGGTTGTTAACTCTGTGTGATATGGTATGAGTTAATGCCTTTCTGGCTCCGAATAGAGGTCTTGAGAGGGGACAGGATTGTCAATACCAACTATGTGGTACTTAAGTCCCTTTGCTTCTTGTCAAATGTGGTCTGTTCGAAGCCAGAAGGCTGTTAACTCTGTGTTTCATGATATGAGTTAATGCCCGTCTCGCTCCGAATAGAGGCCTTGAGAGGGGATAGGGTTGTCAATACCAACTATTTGGTAAGTCCATTTGCTAAGTCCCTCTGCTACTTGACAAATGTGGTCTGTTTGGAGCCAGAAGGTTGTTAACTCTGTGTATTTGGTATGAGTTAATGCCCTTCTGGCTCCGAATAGGGGTCTTGAGAGGGGATAGGATTGTCAATACCAACTACAAGTACATGTACATGTACATGTGTGTGGTAAGTCCCTTCTTGTCAAATGTGGTCTGTTCAGAGCCAGAAGGGTGTTAACTCTGTGTGATATGGTATACAAATATTGACTGCTCAATCGGATGATGGTGGGAACTACGACTCCCTCGGTGGTGTTCACACCGGCCCTTCTATCACCCCCTCGGCTTTGCCTCGGGGGTGATAGAAGGGCTGGTGTGGACACCACCGAGGGAGTGGTAGTTCCCACCATCATCCGATTACAGAGCAGTCCATATTTGTTTTATATACATGTACCTCATCCTTTTTATTGATTCATGATTAGGTCTAGCTGTAGGTCTAGATAGATCTAGCTCTAACAACAGGAAACGAGATCAAGAGGAATTTACTCACCAGAATAAGAAAAATCCAAGGCAAGAGTATTGAATTCCTACGCGCTGCGCGTAACCGTGTGATTGCGGTAGCCTAGCAACTAAAAAACTTGGTGTGCGCAAAAGTCGAGGAGGGGTTAGGAGTCCTATCCCAGGGTTTGATAGTAGCTATCAAACCCTCTGACGCAATGATACTTGATAGATCGAAATGCTCCTTGTCATGTGATATAGTTTTGACCAATCACTGAATGACAATCTATGTACGAGGTATATAATATGAGTTAATGCCCTTCTGGCTCTGAATAGAGGTCTTGAGAGGGAATAGGATTGTCAATACCAACTATGTGGTAAGTCCCTCTGCTTCTTGACAAATGTGATCTGTTTGGAGCCAGAAGGATGTTAACTAATGCCCTTCTGTATGTACAGCATGATTGTGCCTGAACATGTTACTTTAGAAAATTGGAGGTCTGAAATGCGACAGTACAACCTGTAATACAGTGGCAATATTGTTAATGTATTGAATTAAATTTGCGATCGGTGAGTGATAAGCAAAATTCTCGAAAAAATAAAATTCATGTGAAATAACAGCCTAGATTCAGTCAATGCATCTACATGTGAACTGTGCTGTAATATTGTATCATGGGCTTGGATACTGTACACTGTAGTACACACCAACAGGAGCTTACATGTACCTGAGAAATTTTACTATTTTGTCTAAAATCACAAATTTTGGCACATTTGTGAAGTAAAATACTGATTAATAACAGATGTGAACGCAGACTGTTCAAGAAATGGTTTTCAGCAATGCCTTTCCATGAAATTGTGATGTTTTTCTTGTACTACTCGACTAGTAAAAATCTCGGCGCCCATAAAAAGTTAAAAACCTTTGGATACTACATGTACCACTACATGATAAATGGATATACACTGTAGAGGTCAGTGGGAAGGCATCCCTCTACCAGTAATCACTTGAGATTCATTCCCTTTCAGAAGTTAAACTATAACCTCTGAATTCACCTTAGGTCCCGTATAATCAATGCATGTTTCTAAAGAGAGCAGAGCTTGATTCGTAAACATGGTATTAAACAATAATGCTGAAAATAGCAATGATATTTATTCTTGTCATATTTTTTTTATTGTGTGAAGGTATCATTTATGATTTACTCATGAACCGTGCAGTCTGGAAATATGAAGCGTCCACTCAAATCAAACAAAAAAAGTTCTTTGTTTGTTGAAAGATGATACAGAGACGTATTCAGGGAAATTCTATAAACCAAGCTGGCTCCCCATTTATGGGCCCCAAAAATTAAAAAGCTAGACAAAAATAAAACACACTCATTCCTCTGAAAATTATTTACATGTAGCAGGGAGCGCCTCACAAAATCAGGAAATTGTTCATGTTTGAGTTAAGGAGGAGCATACATTTGAAGAAGAAAAAACATAATGAATGGTGGTGGTTATTTTACCTGACTGCTAAGAAAGCATAAATGCTTGTAAGTAAGCAATCAGAGGACCAATGGCTTTAGGTCCTCTCCGAGAGACCTGGTAATGAGGATTAATGCCTTACCAAAGGGCACTAGCGCATCGCCTTGGTTTCGAACCCGGGTCACCGGATTACGAGACCACTGCTCTACCAACTGAGCTATCGCGCCTTTCACATGTTACAAAGTGAAAGGAAACCACACCAACAAAAGCAATCAGTAACGGCATTGAGATCATGAGAAATCTTTATTATTTACTCATTAGTATTGTTATTCATGTGATTTTTATTAAAGGTTTAATTAAGGATTGTAAAGAAAAATGAAAAAGGGAGGGGATAACATTGCAAATGTAGAGTACTGTCTTATGGGGCATTGCGAGAAAGTTGCAATGAAGTGCAAATCCCCAAAATCAAGCATAAGGCCATTAAAAAAAATATACATGTTTAGCGTCCCCGCCCGCTTCCTTTTGGGGGGCCGCCTCCTATTTTTTTTTCTTTTTTTTTGAAATTTTTTTTTGAAATTTTTTTTTTTTTGAATTTTTTTTTTGAAATTTAAAAAAAAACCCATCAAAAACACTGCTAAAATGGATCTATTTCTGATATAAAAAATAAATAAAAATTGTTGGACGCCGTCTTGAAAAATAGCCGGAATGTCAGAGAAAATTTTGAGGCCATGGCCATTTTGAGCGGCCATTTTGAAAGAAAAAAAAAAGGGCCTCCTCCTTCCTATTTTTCGAAAAAACAGGATGCTAAACATGTTTTTTTTTTATTTGGCCTAAGTGATCAATTGCAAATTTGCAATTGATCACAAATCAACTTTCTTGCAATGCCCCATTATTAAGAGAGAGGGAGATAGAGAGAGAGAGAGAGAGAGAGAAAGAGGAGAATAAAAGCTACATGTAGATCTAGTTAACTTAATTTAATAGTTAAAACTTAAATCCTAACAAAATCCTAGGAAATCTAGGAGACTAGTGGGGCATTGCGAGAAAGTTGAGTTGCAATCGATTGCAAATATCAGTTGCCAATTTGCAACCTGCAGTCAATAGCAACGCCCCCGTTGTACTCATTAGTGCTGCACATGTTAGAGACATTGAACATGCATGTACCTTCAGAACACTATGCCTCAAATTATTACCACGTGGCAGTTGATGGCACCAGTATATTCAGAGAGCACTGTTTATCGGTCCAATAACTTTCAATTGCCACCAAATATTGACTCTAGGTTTCAGCAGTATTGTCACAGCCAGTAGAGCAATTGTTGCCGGTATGAGTGTGAGAGCTTACTTATAAAGAGGTGAAATCCAGGGTAGGTGAATGGTAATGGGGGGGGGGGGGGTGGGGTCATGGGAGACCATGTACATGGCGGTTGTGGCTCATTGATTTGATAAACCGGCATGAACATGGGTGAAAACTGTATTATAATTCATTTAGAAAGTTCTATGAATACATGTTTATCTGTACATTTAGTTCAGTTCAGTTCATTTTATTGGACATACATGTGTACAGGTTGTACGCCAGGAGTGTCACGTATATACTATTATTGATTATATAAATCATTCTCTGGCTGTTTCTGTAAAAATACAAAATGTTAAATGACATGCATTAACACATGAAAATAACACATAACAAATATACATGTATACAACAGTATACATTGTATATCACATTATAATTATATCACATTGAAAATGTATATATAAGACAGAAATATAACTAATTTAACATCCAGTTATATGTCCATGAAAAAGTAAATAGGAATTAGAAACACATCACAGTAGTGTTAGAGAAATCAAAGCCCAGTGACTTTTAATAGCACAGTGTACATAGTTACATTAACTATTGCCATGTTGTAGAACATGGTCTACATGTACATGTAGACAGCTGATCTATTAATTAATTGATTGATGGATTGGTTGGTTAATTGGTCTGTTGATTGACTGATTGATTGATTGATTGATTGATTGATGTGTTGGTTGATTGGTTGGTTGGTTTATTGATTGATTGATTGATTGATGTGTTTGTTGATTGAATAATTGATTGATTGATCAATCAGTTGATTGAATCAGTTGATTGATTGATTAATAATTTGATTATTAGATTGTTAATTTGTTTTTATTTATTCATTTAGACTTAGACAGTTAGACTCCTTTAGACTTCTTTTCATTATTTTACGTAATAAGATTTCATTATTTTTGTTCTTTCTATTTTTTCATTACTGTCCTTTTTAAAATTCAGTGACTCTTTTGTTCCCCTACAGTATTTCCCAGGTACCTGTACATGTAACTATTTTCATTCATTCATTCATTCAATTTCTACATCCTTTTTCTCTATTTTTTCCTGTTTTAGGTGAAGATGAAGACATACCATAGTTGTCTGGTCCTGTGTGAAGTTGAGTTTGACAAGAAAGAGTTAAAGACTCTGGTTGATCGCATCAAAGAAGATTACAATGTTCATTTGTAAGTACAGCCAGTATTTTTGTATACTGTCTTAATACATGTAGTTTAAGATTTATGGAATCATACAGTGAGTACATGTATTTGGGTACATCTATTATGTACAGGCATGTCACATACATGTATGTTTATACAAAGTGTTATTAAATTGTATTATAGAAATGTGGACATCATTGATTTTAAAACACCAGTTTATGTGACGTTTGCCTGATCCAAGATCTAGTACTGTAGGGATATCAGTTTAATACAGTTATCATAGAAATGCATGTATTACACTGTATACTGAAATCTCGATGTGGTTAGTAACAGTTGTGACAAAAAAGCTTGGAATCGCCCATTTTGCAATTTATGAAGTATTGTTGTCCAAATTGGAGATTCAATATTCATATTTAACCCTGTAAGTTGTGGCTTTGATCGGATCGGAAGATCAGAGCGACACCCTCGCACCTTTGATCGGTATCGGATCGGAAGATCGATCAAAAAAATCGGCCAATTTAAAAAAAAAAATTTTAAAGACGAAAATTTTCAAGTTTTTGGCTATCAAATGCTAAAAAAAATTCATGGCTGGGATTATTTTGTCATTTGGAGTTGTTGTAGACCATGTTTGTTGATATTTTGTGCCTTTTCATGACTTTGAAATTAATAATATTGGTCTAAGAGCAGAGGCAAAACATGCGGGCCGCCATCTTGGACTATAATGCACCTACATTATAATATGAATATGAAGTGTTCAAAATGGCTGCTCATTTGTTTAGTATCATGATGTAAACAGATTATTGTTGTACTGTACATCAATGAAGTTAAATAAATACAATATAATACATGGTCAATTTTACCACGCTTTAATACAGGATCGCAGACAACCTTCCAGCTGCTACCAAAATTCAAATAGACAAAGATGAGGAGTTTCAGTACGCTCATGGCTACAAGATGGGATTCGTTGCTAATAAAAAGGTGAGTTGAGTAGTCCTTCAGCTCTTCGAACCCTAAATCATTAATGATGAGATAATAATACAGGCCTGATAATTACCCGATTTAAATCGATTTCCCGATTTTTTTCCTGATTTCTTTTCTATTTTTTTTCTTCTCGACTTTATCCCAATTTTCCAGATGTTTCCCTTAGTTTCTCTATTCTTCCCTATTTTTCCCTATTTTTTCTCCAATTTTCTTCATCAAAAGGGGGGAATGTTGTTCGATGCCATTTTTTCCCGCAAATTCTCCTTTTTTTTTTTTACTCAAGGGGGGCGTGGTAGAGGAACCCCCCCCCCCCTTTTTTTTTTTTTAGTGCTCACTATCACCCCTGATAATAATAATAATATTTGGTTCTTGTATAGCTCATATCACATTATATAACGTCTCTATGCGCTTCCAAAGAGCTTTGGATATTATTACCCTAGCTTTAGCTCTGGCAGCCATAATCAGCGCACAGTGCATTTCAAGGAATCCTACCCGGTACCCATTTACCTCACCTGGGTCGAGTGTGGCAAATGTAGATTAATATCTTACCAAAGGACATAAGAGATGCACATCTACTCCATGAATGTGTGTGCTTAAAGGGAAATCCAATCCTTGTAATAAGTAGATTTGTATGAAAGCAGAAAAATAACAGAAACAGAATGGCAAAAGTTTGAAACGAATCGGACCCACAGAAAGGAAGTTATGAATGTTTGAAATATGAGATCACTAAGTCTATGGGTATCTCAAATTGGTAATTTGGTTTATAGTGAATTGTGACGTAGGATGTGGATAAATCTCCCATTTGATGTGTACAATTTCTCGTAAGTTTCTTCTCCATTGGGGCACTACTCAAAATATATTATAGAAAACATATTATTATAGGTCCTTTAAAAAGAATAGACCCCTCCTGAGCCATGTATTTTTGAAAGATTTAAAGTTTAGTTATTTTATATGTTGGAACAGATGGGAAAGTAGCCGGCACTACATCACATTGACATTATCGCTTCAGCCAATTTGAAGTGCCCATACGTGTAGTGATTACAAGTTTCAAACATTTATAACATTCCTATATTTAGTCAGATTTAATTAAAATTTTCATCAGTTTGCTTCTCTGATTTTTTCTGCTTTCGTTTATTTTCCCTTTAATTACAAGCTGGGTATAGAAACCAGAATCTTTTCACATGAAACAATTGATTTTGACAGCTGTTCTCTGTTTCATGTCGTGATTTAATCAATCAAATTTGAACGATTTGCAGCATGATACTCATCAGTCATTCAGAAAATTAATGGGGATTCTAATTATAAGTAAATCTGGACATGTTTTTTTTTAGCAGATGTTTCTGCATATATTGATAAATCAAATATAAAACATTCAAATAACAATAACAGTATATAATATAATTGATTTACATAGAGAGTGACAAAATACACATACAACCCCCTGTACATCAAAATGCATATATTTTTATAATTGAAAGCTTGAAAGTATGGAGGTAAGTAAAATAATCAAGATAAATGCAGAGGCCAACTATCAAAAGCAAGAATGTTTGAGTCAATAGCATTCAATCTAAGCAGCCTTTCAAATCAAAATTAAAATTCTTTCTACTTGATTCTTATACTATGTGTTGAAAGATGATATAGAGAGTTGTATTCAGAATAGCTCTGGCAGAGCTGGCATACCCCCTCCCCCCCCCCCCCCCAACCAGCTCCCCCCTTATAGACCTCCAAAATTAAAAAAGCTAGATCAAAATAAAACACACTCATCCCCAGGTTCTCATCCCTCTGAAAATTAAAGTGACTCAGTAATTTTCTCAGATTTTGAAACAAAATCCTGGATTAAGCTCATGCTGCAATCATAATTATAAACCTTTAGGTCAGTCAGGAACCCTATGACTTGTTTAAGCCGACCGCCTGTCGGATTATCAAGATATTTATGATTAGAAATCCAAATCAAATTTTCTATTTTCATAACAGTACAGTCTATTGGGGAAAATGAGTATGGTAAAACCGGTCACTGAAAGATTTTTACTTTTTTGAGGCACTTCTTTATCATTTTGAAGCGCAATTTTATTTAGGGCATCAATATTATACCATATCACAGACACTGATAACACGTAGGGCCATGCATCTCAGATTTAACATCGTTAAGTGATGCCTTCAAGAACAGGTAGTAGGAAGCACCTCACAAAATCAGAAAATGTTTCATGTTTGTGTTAAGGAGGAGCATACTATATCGCAATTATTTGAGGAAAAAAAAATCATATTACAAAGGGAAAGGGAACATCACCAACAAACACGATTAGCAAGACCAAAGATATCATGAGACACGACAAGCTGGGGGCGTTTCACAAAACTTGTCATCAGTGACAAATGAAAGATTTTGTTATAAGCTACTGAAATCCTTGCTTCTGATTGGTTAATTTTATCAGCAGATTTGTCACTGATTTTTGTCATTTGTCATTGAAAATAGGCTTTGTGAAATGCTCCCCTGGAGTCTCTGCAGATCTTAGAAAGGATGTTCATGTATAGTACATTATGACAATAAAACGTACAGTTAACAACTTAATTATTCATACCCCTTGTAAATTTGATGGTTTTACGTTTTTTGTAACTCAACAATGACAGGCGGACTGGTTGAATTCAGCACTTTGTTGAATACTTTTAGATGTAAGCTTTAATATGTCACATTCTCAAGATACATAAATCAAATTTTCACATAATTAAAAAAATATGAAACTTGGTAAGAGTATGAATAATTTAGTTGTTTACTGTATATATATATATATATATATTTTTTTTTAAATTTTGATTTCAGATTTACTTGAACAATCACCTTGAGCTGGATATGAAGTCACATAAACTCACCCCAGAAGGGTAAGTTTTGATAGAAAGAAAAAAAGTTTATTGGTTTGTGATTATTAATTAATATAGTGTGACAGTTCCTTCTCAGGAATCTAAGTGTGATGCTTTGTATCTTTACAAATGCAACCCATATTCAAGATTGATCAATAAAATACATTGGAACTGTCTCATACATGAATGACTGAGTAAACACAAAGAAAGAAATAGATATAAGCTAAATAGCAGTTTTTCCCTAGATGCTTTTCATTCTCTGTTTGAACTAAATCGCTTGTCACTGTTATTTCTACCTGTTTAATACATTTACGTTGTGATTGAAGGGGAAGTCCATCCTGGTATAAAGTTGGTTTTAATAAAAGCAGAAGAGTGAGAGGGACAGATCAGTGAGTTTAATACACTTTAAACCAATTGAAAAGATGTGAAAATGAACTGTCTGCAATGGGTAAAAGAACAGTTCTCTGGGGGGTGTTTCACAAAGACTAAGACTTTAAGTTGGACTTAACTGTGGCAGGCCACCATTATGATCTTTAGATAATTGTTTCCCCTTCAATAATGAATTATCAAAAACTGTTAATCCTGTAGATTTGTGACCATGATCTGTACGTCTCTTGAGAGACCAATGCTAGTAAATGGTGAGAGCAAACAGTGGCATGAATATCCTGCTATAGTTAAATAGTTAATTCAACTCAAAGTCGATCTTAGTCTTTGTGAAACACCCCCTGGTCCTGTTTACATGTAGATATTGCTTTTAATCTGCCTTTTGTTGCTAGTAAGAAGTAGAAGCAATCACTTAGAAGTTTTGATTTTTCTCGTTTTCATACAGGAATGAGTATCGCATCGTTGGCTTTGAGGTTCGTGCTCGCAGTCTCAAGCATGAAACAGGCAAGAAGGCGGAGGATGAGTGTGTCGCCACGCCCCCAGAACAGGAGCCCCCTGCAGATGCCATGGAAATAATAGAAGGAGGTCAGTAATATTAAATAATTAATTATTTTCAAATTGACAAATTGATGTGAGGAGGCGCGATAGCTCAGTTGGTACAGCAGTGCTCTCGTAATCCGGCAACACGAGTTTGAAACCAAGGCAATGTGCTAGTGCCCTTTGGTAAGGCATTAATCCTCATTACCAGGTCTTTCTGATTGCTTACTAACAAGCAATTTATCCTTTCTTAGCAGTCAGGTAAAATAATCACCACTAATCACCACTAATCAGTTTCCTTTAGATTATACTCTCTGCCAAGCATGATATATTGACATTTCTGAAATGGTATTTTGAAAAATTAATAGTTCAAAGTGAAGTTGAATGCTTAAAGGTGGATGTAAAGGGTGAAAGCGGAAAGTCCTTATTTTAAATGTTACAGGTTTTAAATACAATGACCCTCATGAGCACTATTAAGATAAGAATCGGAGAAGATTTCATGCAACCATGATAATAAAGAGTGGATTATGAAAATATGATTAGTCAGGAAAAATCTTAAATTGATACACCATGTGTGTAGTTCAACCTGGGATACATATCGTTTTTAGTTTTATCCTGCCTCATGTACCTCACCATGCAAACCTTTGAAGAACAATTGGAACTATAATTGTGCTGATAGTCGTTATCGTTATAACAGTATTACCCTTCAAAAAGAAATCACTATATTCTTTATGTGTTTTGAGATATTTTATATATATCAAATGAATTCACTGATTCCTGCTGTCATCTTTGTTTTAGTTATCGTCACAGTATACTAATATATTCCTTTATTTCTATTCTCTTTCTTTGTCATACCAGCTGAAAAGCAAACCATTGTGTTCTCGTACGGTGTTCACTGGGAGGACAGTGACATAGTCTGGGCATCACGATGGGACATATACCTTGCAATGAGTGATGTACAGATTCATTGGTTCTCAATCATCAATTCGCTCGTCGTTATCTTCTTTTTAGCTGGTAAGTTGATAGCGATTCGCTTTGAAACCCCACTGCACTACTTATAGCTACTTGCGCCCTCTATATAGAAAGCAATACCTAATCAGTGCCCATTGGTCCCCCATGATTCCCTTTTTCTTACGTTAATTAAGAACTGAATTGATGAGATAACCACCTGTCGGTGAGCTTGCAGGGAGGTCTAATCCCCCCTGGCCAAACTAGTGCAGACAGGCTTTAAATGAAAAGATGTGCTTCTAGTTTTGATTAAAAGTGATTTCCTCATTTCAGTTTTAGGGCTTGCGCATGCAAATGCCTTATTTCCCAACATTGAATTTATTATATGTGATGGGGATTGCAATAAGGGCTATCTTGGGAACTACACAGGTTGTGGGTATGCTTGTGAAACTTTAGTTTAAACAATTCTACAATATAACTAGGGGCTTGGCCGATTAGTGCAGAAAATCAACAGAATTTTGAATGATATATTTTGAAGAGATGTAGTGGTCTAGTGGTTAAGTCTCCGGACTGTGAACCTTAATGTACAGGGTTCGAGTCCCACTGCCTGCAGCACTAATGTCATTTGGCAAGACATCAATCTACATTTGCCACACTAAACCCATGTGTAGTAAAGTGGGTAAGGTTAGGATTTATTCCTTGAATGCTCCGAGTGCTACGGTTGCCGGAGCTAAAGTCGGGGTAATATCCAAAGTCCTTTGGAAGCACATTGAGACGTTGTATCATAATGTGATATGTTCTATACATGAACGGTCTACTGGTATTATTATTATTTATGTATTTTTAATATTGTTCTAATAATAATAGTAATAATAGGCATTTCTACAGCGCCGTCTATCTAGAAATTCTATTCCGAGGTGCATTTATTATTACACCGGCTTTAGCCTAGCTGCCATTACAGTGCTCCAGCATTTCAAGGAATTAATTCTTGCCAGGTACCCATTTACATCACCTGGGTTGAGTGTGGCAAATGTAAATCAATGTCTTGCCAAGGGACATTAGTGCCGCGGCAGAATTCGAACCGTGGACCTTGGGTTCAACAGTCCGGCGCCGTATCCACTCGACCACGACACGTCTAACATAAAAATGATGTGGTATGCTTCCTTCTTCTACAGGTATACTGACCATGATTATGATCAGGACACTCAGAAGAGACATTGCAAGATACACCGATGAAGATGGGGTAAGTCTTATTAAAGCCCCACTGCACTACTGATAGCTACTTCCGCCCTCTATATAGCAAACAATGCCTTATCGGTGACCATTGGTCCCCCATGATCCTCTTTTTCTTATGTTAATTGAGAGCTGATTGGATGAGATAACCACCTGTCATCTGACTTGGCAGGGTGGTCTAATCCCTCCTGTCTAGTACAGATGGGCATTAAATAACCTAACCAATGAAAATACAACTTTATATCAATGGAAAGTTATATGAAATTATAACAAAAATATAAAAGAATAAGAAATGATTTCCCTTTAGTATTGCACAAAAGCAAATTAAAATCTCTTTTTCTGCACCCCTCCAAATTACGGGCCAACAGGGTTTAAATTTGCTGCAGTTACTGTAAAAAGTGGTCAAAAGAGATGATTGGCACTACAAAATCAATGAATAGCAACAAACACAGACATACTAAAAATTTCTGTTTCAATTAGCGGAGTAAAACTCCCAAGAATGAACAGAAATTTGAAATCAGACAATATAAACAGGGGGGCTGTTTCACAATGAGTTAAGTCCGACTTAAAGTCATGCGTAAGTGCCAATGCACATACACTTAACATGTAATCTCATTGAAAAGACTTCTAATACTACAGTGTATTAGTAATAACGCGGGCCTCTCGACCTTGATCTGACCAATGCAACGATGTGTAATATACCGCGCTCAAGTAGAAACTTAGGCGTGACTTTAAGTCCAACTGAACTCTCTGTGAAACACCCCCCGGAAGTATTTTTGCGATTTACTGTGACGACAGACCTGCCAACCAGTACGATTTAGTCGTATTTCGTACAATTTTTAGAAGCAAATACGACAGTAAGATTTTCCTCGATAAAATATGATTTTTAAAAAAACAATTTGGGGGGAGGGGGGGGGGGGGGTTGTATTTTATTTTGTGTGTGTGTGTGTGTGTGCCATTTGCAATGGCAAAATGCCCATTCTGTTCTGTCAAGTATCCTACAAGCATCTCACATGGACAATGTTCATTGGTTCATCAAACACAACAGTCGTGGCGAAATCATGCACATTCAACCAATGATCCATAAAAAAAATTCTTCCTGTATGTAGGAACTGTATTACAGTTCCTACATACAGGCATTGATCCGCGTAACAGTACATGTTTATTTTTAAGAATACAACTTTTCTCAGTAAAATTCAACTTTGGGGAACAAAGAATACAGTTTTTGAATTCCAGAGGATGGCAGGTCTGTGATGTGTGCAAGACGAGAAGCTATATTATTCTTAAAAAAAGTGATCCATACACATGAATTGTCCTGTCTCCTGTTGTGACCGAATGAAATCTTGTGTTTGGTTGGCAGGAGGACACGACAGAAGAGACCGGTTGGAAACTGGTTCATGGTGATGTCTTCAGACCACCCAGGTACAAACAGCTCTTAGCAGCTCTTGTAGGTGCTGGGGTGCAGATCTTCAGTATGGCTCTTATAACAATAGGTAAGCTGTTGGTAGGTACTGAGGTACAGTTATTCACTCAATTTGATATCATTGTGTCAATGGCTCTGCTCTACAGTACAATATTACCTTGATAAATCATTACATTCTGGACTTGGGGTCTGTGCAGACAATTTTATATATGTGAACGCTTATGGATGCATGAAATAATCTATAGATACTACTTAAATTTGCAATATCTCTTTATAAAAGTAACATTTGAAGCTCATGTTTTGAATATAGCAAAAAGGAACGTCGAAAACTGAACATAGAAAGCAAAATAAATTTGATGATTGGTACATTTGTGATTTGGTGATTTGACCACATCCATACACTTTTTTCTATGTATACATGAGCTGCTCTTTTCCCTAATGTGACCCTCTTTACTCATTACATTTCTAATTAATTTACAGTGATCGCTATGTTTGGTATGCTGTCTCCAAGCAGTCGAGGAGCTCTGCTGAATGCTGCCCTCTTTGGCTTCGTCTTCTTTGGGTAAGTCAAGATGGAAGTGATAATTTTGTGACTTGAAACCAACCTGTTATTGTGTTGATTTGTTTAGTCTAGCTGCATGTCACTTGGTCAGCTCTCTGTCTTCGCCTACAAACCGGCTCGGGCGACCAAGGCTCAAAACTGAGTCACATCTTTTAGATGGTGACGTTAAAGGACGATCCCCTGACGTAAATAATCATATCTGATATCTGATACAAATCGATTACACACACACATACATACAATGAGATTTATTTATTTCTCTTTGTGGTCCTTTTCCATATTTACCTTACAAACTGCTTGATACATCATCAAAGGAAAGGTATTACCTTATAGTGTTAAATAAGGATCATAAAGAAGGAGGGTTAGGAGCCGCTCAGCATGTTTTACAAAGTAATCCGTATTTTTAGCTTGCCTGTACTTTTGCTCTAAACAAGATATACCGGGTATGTTATTTTCAGAACACATGATGTGAGAAAGGTTCTTGCAAAAGTTTATGAATATATATCACTGAGAGAAAAGATAAAGAAGTGCTCAGAAAAGCAAGAGTAAAGACATCAATACCAGCTGATTAAGAACAGCAGAGAATGGAAAAAATTCAGTTGTTGGCATTACATAAAGCACATGAACAATATACAATAGAAAATAATATACACAAATAGATAATAGACAGTAGCAAATTTGTGGAAACACAGATATAAATCGTTTCACGGCTGTGAAATGTATTTGTATATGGGTGACGTCACTTTCACATTTTCTTGCCTTTCGTTGTTTCCAGTGTGTTTGCAGGCTACTTCTCTGGTAGACTTTACAAGACGATGAAAGGAACAAGATGGACTACAGCTGGTTTCATGGTAAGATCATAGACATACTTGGGCCCACTGGGAGTGTCGTGGTCGAGTGGTTTAAGGCGCTTGACTGGAGATGCGAAGGTCGAGGGTTTGAATCCCGACACGGCACTAATATCCTTTGGCAAGATATTAACCTACACTTGCTACTCTCCACCCAGGTGTTAAAAAAATGGGTACCCGATAGGATGCGACCGTCATCATTGGTCAAACAGTTTTTGAGCGTCAAGTCATGCCTGGCTGGAATGCTCCCCAGGGAGTGGAGATTGTGCATACAGTGTGTGGGGGCAAGCACTGAATCCAATGACCGGGGTAATAATATATCTGTAAAGCGCTTAGAGACGTCTGAGATGTATTAAGCGCTATATAAAAACTGAATATTATTACATAATTATTATTAATTCACAAAGCGGCTTAACCTCCACAAGTATAGTACACACGTATCCTTGCATCCAATGAATATATGAAGGAATATATACAATTCAGTATGCTTGGATTACACTTATTTTAGTTCAGAGTGAGGTTTAACTTGTAGTTTAAACAGTGGGTAAAATTTAAAAATCTTTTGTGAATTTGGCCCTTTGATGATAATGACCCAACAATCATGTGTCCGTTCCTGACTCTCCTTGGAAATTTGCTCCACATTTATGAAGAATAAAGTACACATCTACATGTTTCATTTGTAGTTTAACAAAGCCAGGGCTCCGTCTTCCAAAGAGTTACGATCGATCCAAATCAATCGCAAGTCCTCCAACCAATCGCAAGTTTGCAGTCTCCTATCTCTATGTACATAGTCACGGTTGATAACAAATCTTTGTAAGACGGGGCCCTGGTGTCCTGGTATTCACACACTCTGGAATATCAATTTTCTGTTTATACAATGTTCTGAAATTTCTAATCATTATTCTCACAGACTGCAACCATCTATCCTGCCATCATGTTCGGTACGGCGTTCTTCCTCAATTTCTTCATTATGGGCAAGCATTCGTCCGGAGCCGTACCGTTCACGACGCTCCTAGCCCTGCTATGCATGTGGTTTGGTATCTCACTACCTCTCATCTTTGTGGGGTACTTCTTTGGCTACAGAAAACAGGTGAGACGCAAAGCTGTAGTGAGACAGAAAAAGAGATGGAGAGATGAAGGGGGTAACAGAGAGAGAGAGAGGGAGAGAGAGGGATAGAGAGAGAGGAGGAGAGAGATAGAGAGAGAGGAGGAGAGAGAGGGGGAGAGAGGGAGAAAGAGAGAGGGATAGCGAGAGAGGAGGAGAGAGAGGGGAGAGAGAGAGAGAGCGAGAGAGCATGAGGCCATTCACAATATGGTGTGGTGTGGTGTGGTTCAAATTTTCAGTTGTCTGCTTGTCTTTATGGGGTTTAACTTTGGCTACAGAAAACCGGATAAAACCGGACCTGTAGGGACAAACATTTAAAGCAATAAAACATAGAAGAAGAGCAACAGTGTATGAGAGAAAGAGAGAATTAAGTGGATTTGGGTACAGATGGAAAAAAGTATTAAATAGACTCTCCTCATGGGTGGATGATGTTGATAATAAAGGTGATGGGGTGATGAGGCTCTGGCCAGATAAATATTTAGATGTAGAATGTTATCAAGAAGGCCTTGAAGGATTGGGATATTGTGCTTTTGTGTCAGTGTCATTGTAATTCTGCTGTTTATTTCACCCGTACAAAGACGAGTCCCTGAACAAATCATGATTCCATTAAGAAGGAGTAGTACATGTACATATAGATTTTGCTGATGTTGTTGATGTTTTAATATAACTTGATTGCATTTTATTTCAGCCATACGACCATCCGGTGAGAACCAATCAGATTCCAAGACAGGTCCCCGAGCAGATCTGGTACATGAATCCCTTCCTCAGGTGAGAAACCCTCCAACCTATTACTGCTCCAACATTTCATGTTTTCATGTTTTATAAACACGGATACAAATGCGTACTAGATTTAAGATATGACAACACTAATTTGAATGAAATAATATGTAACGCGGCACTTAACAAAGATTTGAGCTTTAAATTTTAATACATTACGAAAATGGCCTATTGATGTGTCATGGTATGATGGAGATGTCATGGTGGTTCATTGCCTTGACTCTCAATCCTAGGGTTGAGGGTTCAAATCTCAGCCCAGCACAAATGTCCTTGTTCAAGACATTTTTTTCTTCTTTTTTTCTTCTTTTAAAACTTTTATTATCAAGTAATTCGTACATACATCATGATAACAATAATCATAAAAATCACTGCACCATAAATACAAAAGGTTAAAACAGATGAAAAACATCAAACAATACAGAAATAGTGGGTAACAATTTCTTTTCTACAGTGTATATCATAGGATTATAATCAAAATACTTCTTCCACAGGGGACCATTTCTTATAGTGCATTCCTTCTTTGTCAAGACATTAATCCACATTTACAACTCTCCAACCAGATGTAAATGAGTACCTGGCAATTGCTGGGTAATTACAGGGCCCTCGGGAATAACAGCAATGAAGCTGATGAGGCTACGCTGGGTAAACAAAATATTATGATTATTAATTTTGTTTGATACCAAAACATTAACTTTCTTTGTTTTTCTTCGGTAGTACCCTGATGGCTGGAATTCTACCGTTTGGAGCTGTTTTCATCGAGCTCTTCTTTATTCTCACCGTGAGTAAACATTTTACAATCCTCCTGCGATCCGATTTTAGAAGAAATGGCAATCACGTTAGACATGGAAATCCAAACAAAATTCATCTTCCCGATTTACTTTCTGGAAGATGATAAGAGTTTTAACACTCCAAATGTTAGGGCATTGATCTCTTCTAGACTCAATAAAAGCCGTATCAGCTTTAAATCGTAGACTTTCGCACTTTTAGTTAAAAATAATAATAATAATAATAATAATAGCCTAATAGTCCACTCCAAATTTTATTGAACCGAAACGGAAATTCTTTTTGCCCAATTGATCGTGAGCCCGGCAGTCACTGAACAGCGCCAGATCGACGTTGCTCTATCCCTTATTGTTGAATGCCAAACAAGGTAGCAATTACTCCCATTTTTTAACGTCTTTTGGTATGACGCGGCCGGGGTTCGAACCCACGACCTCCCGGTTGTGAGGTGGACACTCTACTGACTGAGCCAACACTCCGGTTTGATGTCACTGTAATTCTGTGCCGATTTAGCCTTTTTTCCCCCTACAGGAAATCTTGACATCCATTGAATTTTAGATTTTATTTATCATATGACTATCCAGATCCTTGATCATTAAGATTTTAGAATGTTGAATGTTCACATCAAATACTTTTGCAAATCGGATTGTAATCAGATCGTATAGTGTGCAGTAGTTTTAAAATTAAGATTTTAAAACGTTGAATGTTCACATCAAATGCTTTTGCAAATCGGATTGTAATCAGATCGTATAGTGTGCAGTAGTTTTAAGATTAAGATTTTAGAACGTTGAATGTTCACGTCAAATGCTATTGCAAATCTGATCATAGTCCGATCGTATAGTGTGCAGTAGACATATGAGAGTGTTCACAAATTGATTCTTTGTGTAGTTTCTTTGAATGTTACTTTGTTGTTGAGTTTATGTAGTGTAGTGACACAGATCCAATCAAATGATATTGAAACAAGATATTGGATCATCTTAGATTGTTTACGGCAAGTTTACCCCATCTTAGTTTTGCTAACAATTCTGGCATAGATACCTCTGCAATTCAGAGTTTGGCCATGGCTGAAATTGACTGCCCTACAAAGTGATGATTCTGCAATAGGATACTGGAATGTTGTTCAGTCACCATTGTTAGTTTTACTACCAACATGCACCATGACTCTTTTTGTGAATAATGTGAATAATGAATAATGATACAAATAATAGATAGTAACAAATCATAGATATGACTAGATGGTTAATAGTATAAATACAAGTGATAGAGACAACTCATACGAATAGAGATGAAAATTAAAATAAATGAATTAAATAATATGAATATAAATGATATGCTTGAATGTGTTACATGGATATATCTTGCTATGTTTTTGTTTTTATTTTTGTTCTTCAGGCAATCTGGGAGAATCAGTTCTACTACATGTTTGGTTTCCTGTTCTTGGTATTTGGTATCCTCATCGTATCGTGCGGACAGATTGCAATCGTCATGGTTTACTTCCAGTTATGTGGAGAGGTCAGCAAATTCAATTCAATGTATTAATTTCATAAAATACGAAGATATAATATCTAATTAAATTGTGCCAGGGAAATCGCCATAAATAGCTAGTGGCTTCCCCTTACAATCATAGTGACAAAAACAACAAGTACAGAATACCAACAAAGCGTAAAGGAAATCATTAGCACATTACAAACATTAAACAAGTAAATAAAGAAATGTAGAACATTTTTTATATTTATATATATATATATATATATATATATATATATATGTATGCATGTTGTCAATGATGGAAACAAAAATGGGAGTGTGAAGCTACATGTAGTAGATACATGTATGTATAAAGGTTTGATTAAACTTAGATTTAAACACCTTTTTGGAGCGTATGTTTTTTAAATGAGATTCAAGAGCATTCCATATTTTAGTACATTTATTAATTACAGAGTTTATTCATGGTGTTGAATTTAAATAGCAGTATGAAAAGATAATATCATGTTTATTTTGTGTATCAAATGAAATTAGTCAGTGTATTGAATGAATAGTAATCAGCTCCAGCAATTTCTCAAATAGCTATGATAATCTTTTAAAAGATCTATTGTGAAAATTAGAAATTTTGGCTGTGCAGGAGAATGATGCAAATACTATGTTCACTTTGATTTTTTTTTTTTTTTTTTTGCTCTCTCTCTCTCTCTCCCGCACTTCATTTCCTGTCTTAATACATGTATGTTGATGTTTAATGTTCTTGTTATTGTACATCGCATAGACTTAACATAACATTTGAAGAATTTGAGCTCATTTGCTTAATGAAGTGTAACAACTGTGATTTACGCTCATGATTACTAGGGAGTGAATTTGAAAGAAAGTTTGTTTGCGATATCTAATTGGACTTACCTGTATGATCATTGCCAAGGAAATCAACATTCTTTTAACACCAATTATTTGTCGAACTGACTTAAGTGATTGCAATCACCTAAGTAATAGTCAGATTTTCAGATCCTTTTACCGAATGGTCGTACGTTTTGTGCTGCTCAAAGATTCAATCAGTTTAATTTTGGCCATTACCATTAGTGGGTTATTGATGTAGACAAATGCTCATGTACCTGTTAGATCTCATTTTATGTATATTACCAAAGAAAAAAAGATGTTAGTCAGTCAGTCACTCACTAGTGTCTGACAGTGAAGTCTAGAAGGTAAACATGTTTCCTTGCATAATATGAATATTAGGACACTGCTAGCATTTAAATTTCACAGATAGGACATACATGACATATTCATAATTCCTTCAAAGTTCTACAGAATTTGATGTTGGCTGCAAAAGGGAAATAGTATCTTTAAGCAGTATTTGATGATAAATTTAAATACAATTCCATTAAGTACAGTACATTATAAGGGACTATGTTCAAGATTTTGGTGCATTTAAAGAGATTTAATGAGCCTTTTGTTTTTATTTGTTAACAGGACTACCACTGGTGGTGGAGATCCTTCATAGTATCTGGTGGATCAGCATTTTATGTCTTTATATATTCCGTCTTCTACTTCATTACCAAGGTAAGTACTTTGTATTTTCTTCTGCTAATCAGTAGTTTTAAAGCCCCACTGCACTAGTTTGTCCAGGAGGGATTAGACCACCCTGCATGGTAACTGACTGGTGATTATCTCATCAAATAAGCTCTCAATTAACATAAGAAAAAGGGGATCATAGGTTAGGCATTGTTTGCTATATAGAGGGCACAAGTAGCTATAAGTAGTGCAGTGGGGCTTTAAAGATGTATTGAAAATGAGGTATACTTTGGAGGATGGTATGAAAAAATAGTTAGGGGAACTGGAGAAATTGTTGTGAAGACTTGAAAGGATGCGCAACATCTGTTTTGTTGGGAGTTACTTTGCTTAGATGCCGACATACTCTGAATTATGATTTGCAACGTAATGATTTTCTGTTATTGATACTACATGGGGAAAGATTCAGAATAACTTTAAGGCAGCTTCTCTTAAAGGGAGACGGTCGTCACTTTCCATGTGCAGTAGTTCATAATTTGCTAGAACCAGACTCTGGAAATACCATTGATGGGTATACAAGTCTCTCGACACAGCAAACCCGTAGTCCCATCAAAAATATCCCCCAGTCTCTCGGAGAGTCCTTGGGTGAGGGAATGTAAGATAATGACTTTCCCCATATGGGTATGGGTGGTAAATGCAGAGCATTTAAACATAAAGCCTGTTGGTCATTAAACTAAAGGCTAACCCTGGTGATTGAAAAAACCTGTTAATTAGATTAACGCCCAAATTGTATCGAATTGCCCATTAGAGCCCACCACTATGCGTCTTTAGGCCTGGCAGCTGGCACTATGCGCTAACGCTTAGCAAAATATCTTGAGCTAATTTCTTGAGGTCGAGTCTCGAGCTGATGAAGACGCTATTTGTAACTTCAGGATTATTTTCCAAATCAGAAATTAGCAGGCTATTTGGCAATCGCGAGCTGACGAAGACATACCTTGAGAGATAAAATGCAGTTTCATTTTGATTACTTACAGTTTTATTTGATGATTTATTTTTTCAGCTTGAAATCACCCAGTTTGTTCCTGGTCTCCTTTACTTCGGTTACACCTTCATGATGGTGCTTACGTTCTGGATATTGACCGGTACGATAGGATTCTACGCGTCTTATTGGTTCGTATCCAAGATATACAGCGCCGTCAAGATAGACTGAACACACTGTTAGGGGTTTCCCCCACACCCTGTCAGGGGATTCCCCCATACCCTTCCCATCTTTTGAGCGAAAGACCTGTGGTTGTACATAGTAAATAAAGAAGTAAATAAAAGAGTAAATAAATTGGTATACAGACCTTCTATCGTTTTACCACAACTAGTGCAACAACGGTATCGGCCCATGAACCTCTTACCGTGCTTAAACAACGTTGTTGGTCTAAATCCTAGAGATTAACAGATTTTTTAGAGTGATGTTAAGTTTGGCAGCTTTTGGTGTATATTTATATTAGAGCTCTCTGCCCTATTAGATTAAATTTCTTTTCGATTTGATGTGTGTCAGGCGAAGGGATGCAAACGATTGCTTTATCGATGAATGTACTTATTGATGATGACACATTTTAAAGTTCAACCTTTAGGCGACTATATCTACACAACACTTCATAGTCTATATATCATCTAAATTATTACCAGTGATCGGTAAAGTATGCTTGTATCTTTATTATTTGTTCATCCTTTCCTAAGAAACCAAAAAAACAAAAATATGACAGCAGTATGTATTTGAGCCTTTCTACCGAGAACACACAATGAATGTTGCATATATAGGAAAGAGCACTAGGAAATGTTTCTTATTCACACTATGGCTTAAAATTTATTATTTTCATTTTTATTTATGTAAGTGAAGTCTAGTTCAGTCTTGGATAGTTTGTTTTTATTTTCTGCTGTTTGGGTGATAGTTTGTTGTAGATGCACCTATTTTGTAGATAACATATATTTTTAAAGTGGAGAACATGGCCAAAAAATGCTCTGTGTGGCAATTTTTTATACTATGGAATTGACATGTATGATATGAATATTTAAATAGTACCACGGATGAAGAACATTATCATAGCCTTTATTTACCAGGCTTTTCTAAAAGGCATTAAATCAATGATCAATACTAATGTAGATAACACCTCAAATGTAATTACTTTGATTTTATTAATTTATTAGATTAGAGTATTAGATGATTTCCATAAGGTCTTGTAAAAAGAAGAAGGAACATTAATGAAGCTCTCAATGTGCTATACATTCAGCAATATTAAAGCCTGTCTGCACTAGTTTGGCCAGGATGGATTAGACCTCCCTGCATGGTCACTGGCAGGTGGTTATCTCATCAAATCAGCTTTCAATTAACATTAGAAAAAGAGGGTCATGGGGGACCAATGATCACTGATTAGGCATTGTTTGCTATATAGAGGGCGCATGCAGCTATAAGTAGTTGCAGTGGGGCTTTAAATCTATTGTAATCAAGAGCGACAGCCTTGGAGCATTTTATGTAACATAGAGAGTGCATGATGGACGCTGCACTACATTCAGATATGCTACGATAAACTGGCAGTTTTTATGATCAGGTAAAGTGTAATACACATCACATTTCTTTATTATATGATACAGAGCTGAGTGAATATGCATGGGAATTTTGTTGCGCACAGTTGCCATTTTTTCATATTAAGAAATAAAAAACCACCACCGTTTACTGGGGCATATCTAAGTGAGCCTTGCTAGACATTACTTGTGGTTTGAATAAAGGTCTGGTTGATTTATCACTTGCATATTAAAGAGCGAGACATATGAAAGCGTTAAAATACATATTCAGCTTGTATTCCTACACTACCGCACAATAACCTCATCCGTTTGGAGCTCGAAGGGCATCAACCAGGGGGGTGTTTCACAAAGAGCCTAAGTAGAACTTAACTCTAAGTTGGACTTAAAAATTATGGACAGCCATTGGATTCTTAAAATGAAATATATTCAAAAGCAGAAATTCAAGTATTTTAGACTTTTTATGAATTCCACATCCAGAACATGAAATCTCCTTGATGATAGACAATAAGGATGATTTGAATAAACAATTAATGCCTTTCAAAATAACTTTTACAAAATATTTTCAAAGATGCTAATGGCTTTCCATAATTTTTAAGTCCAACTTAGAGATAAGTTCAACTTAGGGTCTTTGTGAAACACCCCCCTGGTCCAATTTGCGCAGAGTTAACTCCCTTCTGGCACCAAACAGATGATGTGTTCGTTTGATGATGCTGAATATTGAAATCCTTTGTTGGTTTCCTGTGTATGCAGATTGGTGTGTCGGCTGTAAAGTAATATTTTGGTCTGTAAATTTTGGATGCTTGCAATCTTTGTCAAAAGACATCATTTTGTATGTACCTTTTTTCTATTCTCGTGTCCTGTTGTCTATATCAAAGACATTTTATGCATGGACTTAGTTTATAAGTCCATGGGTTATGTAAGTTTATACTTAAGATATGCCGGCATCGTATAATAGGCTGCATTTGTAACTAAGTATTAAATTGAGATGTACTTCATGAGAGTAAAAATGATGAGAACATTTCGTCGCCCGGCTGACAGAAGGGCGTTACCGACTCGAAAACGACTTTTCAAATTATTCACATTTAAAGATTTGTTTTATATTAAAATTGCTTTCCATCCCGAAAATTGGTTTAAAACTTAAAAGACTACAGGTAATAGAAATGTTATAGTAGAACACGGCCACAATTTTTTTCTCGGAAATAAGTCAGTTTTATAAAAGTTTGAGGCAATTTAGTCCTAACGCCCTTCTGCTTAGCGCTTCGTTTTTGACCTGAAATTCGAGCTAACACCCTTCTGCCAGCCAGGCGACGATTTGTCATAATGTAGAATGGTTCTTAGATATATTTGACATTGCTGAACCACTTGGAGTATTACATATGTATGAGCCTTGATCTAAACTATTATGTTCATGTATCCGTCTCACACATTCTTAAGATCAGGACAAAAAAAGTGATCTGAATCAAAAAAATAAAGTATTAAGCTTTGCAATTTGTGGCAATGTAATTGTTTTCTTCATCTATTGCGAGGCTAGAGTCGGTGTCATTGTAGTACACGGAGTAGTGTATGATCTACGTGTGATGGATTATGTCGATGTCAATGATACATTGTAACATGTCATTACATCTAATAAATCTACATGATGTGGAAATCAAGATTATACATTCTGTTTGACCATTACGATTCTATAATTCTATTTTTTTTTAAAGTTTAATTTTAAGTGTATTAAGTTTTGATTTGTAACAAAAATATGATTTTTAATTTTTATTTGTTATGATATATGAGCAGCAGTGCTTCGATGCTGGTTTGTCAAATGGCATTTTACTACAGGGCCAGTATTCAATTCAATACTTAAATTTGAAATATGAGTATTTTACTTAGTCTTCGGCTTAGATAAAATACTTAGCCAATTTTGGTATTCAATTCAAACTTTTGACTTGGTATTTGACTCTAAATTTAAGACAGCTCCCTACCAGACTTGAGCCAATTATTTGGAGGCCTTGATTGGCAGGCATATAGTTTTCTAACGCAGTATCATAACTTGCGCATAATTATGTTAGCGCGCATTTATTGTGATGCATTAATTGCGCATTACCGGTACTTTTGATTGACCTTGTGATGTCACAATGCTAATATCAGTAAGTAGTCTACTTAGATTTTGTTGTATGTATGTTAAAGTCCAAAATGCGATTTGAATGCGAAATAAGTTAAGTTCTTAGCTTAGTAAATTACTTACATTTTCTAAGTATTGAATTGAATACCGGCCCAGGAGTTCAAATACCTTTCAGTTTGGGACTTTCCAGAGTTTTCCAGGTACACGTTTCTGTAGAAACGCACCGTAATGTGATTAAATCGCTAAAGTTAACAGAAAAGCTTACCCGTCTCCAGAGGTTGATTTTTCTTGTATGCTGGCTTTCATAGTTCTCTAGAAACGTGCCTCTTATTAAATAGGTCGTTACACAATATATTGCTGCGTCCAGCGCCTACTCTCCTGACATCCAGTCAACCCGCTGCTAAACACTACTAAAATCAGTTTCTACAGAAGCGCAGAAGCTGAGTTTAGCTGTCTTTGGAGGGCTGTCTGGATGTTTGGATAGTGGTCCTAGTAGCAAAGTCCGCTTTTGTGCGCTTCCGTAGAAACATTCCGTTAGCATTTATTTCTCCGGGTCCATTCTGGGTTCCTTCAATGTCCGGTTCTCCAGTAGAAACGTTCTGAAAGAAAGAAGAAAAGCCAACATTTTCATGATAAATAGAACCTTGTATTTGCCTAAGTGAATCTGTATCAAAAGTGCTTGCAGATCGAGTGCTTGTTTAGTACCACATTTGATCTGTTGGAAAGCAAGAAGGGCACTAACTTGTAACACAGAGGTAAAGCCCTTCTGGGTCTCAAATCTCAATGGATTATTTGTTAATCGGGTTATAATATTCTTTATCTGTATGGACACACTGTGAACTCTGTACACCGATGTTTCTCCTAATCAATTAATCGATCAGTCATTCGGTCAATCGTTATTCTATCTATCAAGGTACATGTTTCTGATTCTCAATGGACTATATGCTAATCAGGTTATAATATTCTTTATCTGTTTGGACACACTGTGAACTCTGTACACTGATGTTTCTCCTAATCAATTAATCGATCAATCAATCGGTCATTTGTTATTCTATCTATCAAGGTACATGTTTCTGATTCTCAATGGACTATATGCTAATCAGGTTATAATATTCTTTATCTGTATGGACACACTGTGAACTCTGTACACCGATGTTTCTCCCAGCTCAGATGCTAATTGCAACATTTTTTAATCAAACGAGAGAAAAAAGAAGAAAAAACATACAATGAGTCGAGCCTTTGTTAAGCGTCATTATACGAGACACAACCCAAACTTCCTTTCAAATTCATTCCAGTAGACATGAATAGCATACTGCCCCGGGCTATTTATCATGAACTACATCTTTCAGAGTTATTCATCTCTGTACCCTTGAATAAATGATGATTTGACTTAACCAGTGCATGAATTCTAAAATATTTAAGCGGTAAACAATTCTTAAATAGCTGAATGGGTTCTGTTCCTGCATGTATCATGCTGGTATTGTGTTTGTGGAATTCATCTACGTTCATGTTTTTCAGTTGTATGTGTCTCTTATTTTGACAAAGGAACCAATGGCATCTTTTGATCTAAATGCCTCCTCAAAGTTTAGTGGAAAATGTTTTGGAGACATAAATGTCGATGATAATAACGTTGTGCTGTGTACACTGGAGTTGTATCAGAAAATTTATGCTCATTTCTTACTTTGTAAAGCCTCGTTAAGTTATGAGGCGTTTTTAAATTATTGTTTTCATTATGACCCAAGTGTAATAAGCTTCATCCTTCCGTATCTTATATTAAACACAGAGCTGAGTGAATGTGCGCAGGACCTTTTTTTTGTGTGCAGTAGTCATTCACTTACACCTTTTTTTAAAACTGCAGCAGTTTAGTTTGTTGTCGTTGTTTTTTTTTTGGGGGGGGGGCAGCTGTGTATCGCGTCATATCTGAACGTGCTGACTGTTTGAAAATGCTTTTGTGTCTTTGTAACATAAATAAAAGAAATTAAAAAATATTTGACTACTTTGTCAAGACTTGATGGAAGAATGTTTTGAAGACAGAATGTTAAAGATGATAAGGTTATGAATGTTTACACAGTTAACTAAATTATTCACACCCCTTGTAAACTTGATGTTTGTGTGTTTTTTATAAATCAGAATGACAGATGGACTGGTTGAATTGGGGCCTTTGTTGAATGCTTTTAGATGTAAGCTTCGATATGTCACATTCTCAAGAAACATAAATCGGCACAAATTAATTTTTCATAATACTTAAAAATATTACAAAACTTGGTAAGGGTATGCATAATTCAGTTGTTAACTCTATGTGTTTTTACATGTTGAATGATTAATAAATTGAAATT